AATCTTTGTTTTAAATTTTCAACTCTTAGTTATAAAAACTGAACATTTTATAATTTTTTAATTCCAACGATTGATAATTTTCGAGATTTTGATAAATTTTGTCAAAATTCCAACTTTAAATGCTTATAAAAAAAAATCGTGCCTATGTATTTTTAATATTTTTCAACTGATATTGTAACAATATATCAGGAGCCTTGTATTAAATTTTTACACTTTTTGGCCCAACAGATAAAACTTTATTGATATTTATAGAAAAAAAAACTAAAAAAATTGAAAGCTGTAAATGTCCATAAACAGCTCAAAAAGAGTCAAAATATTTTCAAAATTGTATGGTGTATAGGAAATGCTAATATAAACATTCAGTGAAATTTTCATGTATCTACAGTTATTCGTTTTTGAATTACAACAAAATAAGGAAATCGCTACATGAGAAATCGAGTGAAAATCCAATGTTGTAAAAATTTGAATTTCAAACGCTCATAAAAATTTAATTTGACTGTCCGGTAGAGATTTTTTTATTGATAAAGGTAGATAATCTTATAAGGAATCTTGTGTTTCATTTTCAAATCTTAGATTTAAAAAGAAAAATTTTTACGAATTCTTAACTCAAAATAATTTGCTAATTTTCGTGATTTTTCCATATTTTGTCAATTTTTGAACTTAAAATGCTTATAAAAAAAAATTGTGACTAAGGATTTTTAATATTTTTCATCTGCCTTTGAAACAACATATTAGGAGCCTTCTATTAAATTTTCAAGCTTTCGCAACCAATAAATAAAATTTTATTGATATTTTTAGAAAAAAAACTAAAAAAAAATGGAAAATGAAAATGTCCCTAAACAGTTCAAAATAAATCAAAATATTTTGAAAATGTTATCGTGTATAGAAAATGCAAATATAAACAACCAGTGAAAATTTCATGTATATACGTTCATTTGTTTTAGAGTTACACCAATAACCAAAATCGATTTTTTGGAAAACCAATTTTGCGTAAAAATTCCCGTTTTTCCTTAATTTTTATGTTGTTTTTCCCGGCGCTTGTGAAAACTACTGGGAAATTTATACTTTTGACCCCCCAAAGTACCAACTAGATTCACTTTCCTATCAGAAAAGCTACTGATGAAGAAAATCCAAGCACTTTTACTGTCCTAAAACGTGATGACAGACACAAAAATATAAATAAAAATATATATAAAAAGGTGGGCAAGTGGGTGTCGCTCTGCTGTACAGTAGGTTACAAGTGGGTCACTGTATAATGGATGGTATTAAATTTGAATTCAATGATATAATATCATTGTATAAGAAAAACGATTCTGAGCGGTGATGGTATGTCAGTCTATGTATAAGGCATATTATATACATATCTATGGTATTAAACAAAAAATTGACCTATAATAGGTACCTATAATGAATTCCAAATTAATCATATCACAATATCCATTAGGTACTTATAACGCGTTATACACCTACAACAAACCCTAATACTATCATAGATATATATAGTAGATTACTTTAGAAATTTCAAGTACCCACGATTAATATTATACAATCACAACAAAATAACTAAAATCGTAATTCTTGGTTTAAATATGAAATTTTGTCTAAATTTGAAATTAAAATGTCTGTAAAAAATAAGTGTGTTTATATATTTTTTAGATTTTTTGGTTACAGTATGAATTATTTAAGAGAATCTTTGTTTTAAATTTTCAACTCTTAGTTATAAAAACTGAACATTTTATAATTTTTTAATTCCAACGATTGATAATTTTCGAGATTTTGATAAATTTTGTCAAAATTCCAACTTTAAATGCTTATAAAAAAAAATCGTGCCTATGTATTTTTAATATTTTTCAACTGATATTGTAACAATATATCAGGAGCCTTGTATTAAATTTTTACACTTTTTGGCCTAACAGATAAAACTTTATTGATATTTATAGGAAAAAAACTAAAAAAAATTGAAAGCTGTAAATGTCCATAAACAGCTCAAAAAGAGTCAAAATATTTTCAAAATTGTATGGTGTATATGAAATGCTAATATAAACATTCAGTGAAATTTTCATGTATCTACAGTTATTCGTTTTTGAATTACAACAAAATAAGGAAATCGCTACATGAGAAATCGAGTGAAAATCCAATGTTGTAAAAATTTGAATTTCAAACGCTCATAAAAATTTAATTTGACTGTCCGGTAGAGATTTTTTTATTGATAAAGGTAGATAATCTTATAAGGAATCTTGTGTTTCATTTTCAAATCTTAGATTTAAAAAGAAAAATTTTTACGAATTCTTAACTCAAAATAATTTGCTAATTTTCGTGATTTTTCCATATTTTGTCAATTTTTGAACTTTAAATGCTTATAAAAAAAATTGTGACTAAGGATTTTTAATATTTTTCATCTGCCTTTGAAACAACATATTAGGAGCCTTCTATTAAATTTTCAAGCTTTCGCAACCAACAAATAAAATTTTATTGATATTTCTAGAAAAAAAACTAAAATAAAATGAAAAATGAAAATGTCCCTAAACAGTTCAAAATAAATCAAAATATTTTGAAAATGTTATCGTGTATAGAAAATGCAAATATAAACAACCAGTGAAAATTTCATGTATCTACGGTCATTTGTTTTAAAGTTACACCAATAACCAAATTCGATTTTTTGGAAAATCGATTTTGCGTAAAAATTCCCGTTTTTCCTTAATTTTTATGTTGTTTTTTCCCGGCGCTTGTGAAAACTACTGGAAAATGTTTACTTTTGACCCCCCAAAGTACCAACTAGATTCACTTTCCTATCAGAAAAGGTACTATTGAAGAAAATCGAAGCACTTTTACTGTCCCAAAACGTGATGACAGACACAAAAAAAAATATAAAAATATAAAATATAAAAACACACATCGTTGTAAAACCAATACATTCATCGCTCCGCTCAGAATCTAAAATGACCTATAATAAATTCCAAATTAATCATATCACAATATCCATTAGATACTTATAACGCGTTATACATCAACAAAAACCGTGATACTATCATAGATATATAATAGTACACTTTAGAAGTTTCAAGTACCCACGAATAGTATTATTCAATCACAACAAATTAACTAAAATTGTAATTCTTGGTTTAAATATGAAATTTTGTCTAAATTTGAAATTAAAATGTCTGTAAAAAATAAGTGTGTTTATATATTTTTTAGATTTTTTGGTTACAGTATGAATTATTTAAGAGAATCTTTGTTTTAAATTTTCAACTCTTAGTTATAAAAACTGAACATAGTACCAACTAGATTCACTTTCCTATCAGAAAAGCTACTGATGAAGAAAATCCAAGCACTTTTACTGTCCTAAAACGTGATGACAGACACAAAAATAAAAAAAAAAATAAAAAAAAAAATAAAAAAAAAATAAAAAAAAAAATAAAAAAACACACATCATTGTAAAATCAATACATTCATCGTTTCACTCAGAATCTAAAATATAAATAAAAATATAAAAACATACATCATTGTAAAACCAATACATTCATCGCTCCGCTCAGAATCTAAAATATTGCATTCAAAATTTAAATTAAATATTTTTAGATCAATAATTATTATTATAATAATTTATAACGTAGGTAATCAATTTTGACTATTAGTTATAACCTAAAAATTCATAAATAATCATTAATAATTAAATATTATTTTAATTCTATTATAATCTGATTAATTGCATACCATATTAATATATTATAGTTAAATAATATCTATATTTAGTTAATATTTACTTTACCTATATTGTTTAAAAAAATAATTTAAACATTAAACACAAAAACTACTTAAAAATTACAATAAGAAAAAATTAAGAACCCCGTCTTGGGATGAACCATGATGATGAACCTTGCATAATACTTTCAAGTATTTTTACCAAAAAAAAAATATTTTTTTTGACGATTTTCACTTCTAAACTCTCTACCTATAAACATGTAATATTTAAGAGGACGCTACACGTGCGTTTGTTATCTCCGTCTTACAACTGTATGTCTGTATGACATATCAAAGTTTCGTTCACTAGTAACAAATTTTCAATAGTGTGCTGTTAGTTTTAATATTAAAGTGAATTGACCTATTATCAAACTTTGAATGGAACTTTGAATGAAACAAATGCATGCGGGCAGTGACGTAGCGTCCTCTTAACGAAAGTGGAAAGAATAACTGAAAAAAAATGTCAGATCATTCATTTCGAATTATACAAAATTCATAATACTTATAGAACCCAAATACTATCCATATATATATTATAACCAATAATTTGATGGTAATACATGACAGTAACAATATTATTGTGACAATTAAATATTTAAATATAATGAATTTCAATATAACAAAACATATTATTATGTGATATATTTTATTATGTTAAGTATAACTCATTGCTCATTAGAATCCCTAAACGAAGAGTCATTACGAAAAACAATTAGTATATCGATACTTATCTGAAAAAGATATATTTTCTAATATAGCCATATTTAACTTTTAATGTACATACTACATAATAATGTGTGATATACCTAAACTTATACAAAATATAGCAAACATGTACCTATATAATATATAATATATATATATATATATTACAGACAATAATATACCTATGCGTAAATGTGTATTGATATTATAAATGATATGCATCCATGCAATTAATTTAATGAGAATATGACTGTTAAATTAGTTTAACTACCTATATACTATATATTATTATACATGAAATGGTGGCAAAAATAAATAAAATAAAAATTGTTATAACATTTATAAAATAAGGATTTATTATTATTCAGAAGAAAACATTTGCATGTGTATACATATAACATATTTACATGTAACATGTGTGTAAGGATATTGTATAGGTATGAAAATATGGCATATGCATGAATTAATATTAGCTGTATCTAAATAATTAAGTTGTTGATTATATGGGGGGGATTATATGGGGGTATATCGAGTAAACTAGTATAAATGTATATTTATTTAGATTTATTTTTACTTTTTTCCTTAGTAACCAACTCTTTGTACAGATTGGTTACAATTGTATAAACTTGATTCAGTAGCACCTGTGTGGAATCGTTCTCGTTACAGTTGTCCATCAGTGGCGACGTAGCATGAACGGCCGACGAGTCCTCTTCATAAAATCGTCTGAGTACGCTAACATCCGCTTCGATCGTACCCATGCTCTTGAGATGATCGTACAATGTCCGTGCCACGATTTCTATGTTGTTGTCCAAGGTTTTAATGTGATTGTTTTTGAAAGTGACACATTTCATATTATCACTTAGCGTTTTTTTGCAGTAATTGTAATCCTGAACGGCGTTATCGGTCAAAAACCAACATTCGAAAGCCTGGATATCCTGCCTGTGTTTATGTAAGACATTACATTACATTTTTTAACTGCCGTCGAAACGTGCAAATGTCACCGTTCAAGAGTCGAATAACTACAATGGATTCGAGTTTGGAAATGCCTTGCTGTTCAGACATGTTCAATACGCAATTGACACGCCTGCGTTTACGTGATACCGTCTCATCTTCCGAGTGGCCCAACCGCATGACTTCAATTTGTTGGCGCAACGTTTCCACTTCATTTTCCAGAACGCCGCGATCTTGCAATTCGGTTTGTAACTTCAAGCGCCACAACTCACGTTCCTTGGTAGCCTTTCGGGTCATTATTTCGAATTTTTCTGTAAAAGTAAGCTGTTCGAGCCGTTTGACCATTTCGACAGCTTCCTTTTCAAGTTGCACTTGTTTATCCAACTCTTCTTGAAATCGTAGCTGACATTCCTTCAGTTTGCGTTCATTTACTTCTTTATCATGCAATAACTTACGTTCAACATCTTCTTTTTCACGTATCAAACGCTTCTCAAGATATTCCTGCTCTAGCTTTTTGACCGATTCAATCTGTTGTACGCGGCTCTTGGTACCTTCCTCGATCGCTTTTTTTTCACGTTCAAACTCGTTGCGATCGTCGCGCAGCTGCCGTTCTAGGCGACGCTTCTGGGCGTCCATCTCGTACCTCAATTTGTCCATTTCAATTGTGTACTTCACGTGAATTCGATTCATGTCGCTCTCCGTGTAAAACTTTACGCCCTTTTCTTCATCACCAAATTTAGAACAAGAATCATTTGTAGAATCATCCTCATTGGAACCCCACACTTCGCCGATATACTTACAGGCACCACCAGTCGATGTATTTTCTGGCACGGCCCTAGAGTGTGTTGGCTGTTGTTCGGAGATATCGTATTCAGATACAACGTCATCATCATTTTCAACTTTGGTATCGACAGTTTCCGTGACGGTATTTAACAGAGTATCGACTGTATAGTCCACTGCTACAGATAACTCGATCGGCACTTCGCTTTTAGGTATCAACATTTGCTTCAATTGAGAGTAGTCAACGAGCCCCGATAACAAGGCGAATGCTATAGGCAAAGTCTTGACGTACAACTCGTCGCTGACCAAAGCAGTCATTCTCAAAAACAAAATTGGATAGTAGTACTTGTGGTGACCAAAATCACTCGCCAATAAAATATCTGAATATTTAGTTACCGTATGTCCGTATACATGTGTCAAGCAATCTATTAACTCCGTAATTAAAACGTCATGTTTGTGTTCATAATGTTCAAAATTTGTTATTTTTTTACCATTTTGGACACAAAAAATAATGGCTAACCAACGATTAGCGTCTACGGCTAGTTCAAACTCGACGACTTTTTGTGAAATTGGTACATCTATTATTTCGAGTAAGCGCGTAAATTGAGCACGACGATCAGCGTTACGATTGAAGAAATCGCTTACAATCATTGCCGACGTCACGTAACATTTATTGGAACACCACATGGCCACGGACAGAAATATTATTGGGTGGCAGTACGTACCGGCTTCTGAAGCATTTGCAAATATAGTACTATAAGATGATAAACGTTGACCGATGAACAACACAAATAATTTTTCTATAGACTTACTCTTAACAAGGGATTCGTAGCGAACATACTGTTTTCCTTGTTTTTTGCACATTTTTGTCGCGTTGAAGTACCCTGTGTTGGTATCGACCAACAACTTGAACTCGCCTAGCACACATTCGGTGAAATTGTTGTGTACAACCGTTTCCCGCACAGGCACGACCATGGCTGACTACTGGGAAAGTGGGAAATGACAACTACCTATACATCGATAATATTATAATTTTTAAAAACGAAACAAAACAATACGACTTATGGATCGGCGCGTGCGTGTTGTATACACATAACAAGGTGACGGAAGCTAATCGCGCGATCCTCTAAGTATACTAATGGAAGTGGTAATGAGTCGCATATAGTGGTACGAGCTGGACAAATACGTAATTGGCACCTAAAATGAGCTGCGGTTAAAGTCAAGAACCGTTTTGGGAAGGATATGCGTGTGTTATCATTATACACAAAACGACTAAATTTCAAAGATGATGGCGTACTATACTAACTAATTTTTTTAACGTACACATAATGTTTATGTATATATGTTACTGTTAAAGTATTAAACCAGTTATTTTATAGTTTAACGTAACATTCTAGTTAAAGTGTTTACATTCAAATTATATAAATACTTTATCTTGAAAATGCATAAAATAACTAGTTATATTATAGAATTACAGATAATGAATCGTTAAAGTGTTTACATTTTAAATTAATAACTAGTTAAAGTGGATAATTGTGATTGATGTTATAAATTATTCTAAAAAAAATCTAATAAATCATAAAAATGAATAAACATTAAAAAAAAATATTTTATACAAGATTGGTTTTGGATCTATCTTAGTCATGTTTACAATTTTTTTTTACATTACGTTACAATGAATAAAAATTATATTATCTACACTATTTGTCAAAATTAGTACACGATTGATTTTGGTGACATTTTGAATTGCACAAAACACCATTTTTACGGCATATACATCGATTAGTGGTGCATTTAGTGATACAAGTACATTTAAAAAAACCTTGTCCATTTCCAATTGATTGTTCTGTAGCTGCAGATCGTAGAGAAATTTGTTTTTCTTGAGGTATATCGCTTAATGATATAAGGTTTTCTGAACACGTAGTAAATTGGGAACGTGCATATAGCTGTTTTAAAATACCTATAATTTTAAAAGTTAAGGTATTATTTAAATGTAAATAATATGTAACAAATCTTATACATACCACTTTTACATCCAAGTTGATAGAACCCGTCTTCAGTAATTTTGAGAACCACAGCAATTACCGATCGAGGATCTCCCCTCCCTCTATCAACATCAGGAATTTTAAGTTGAACTGTTGAACCTTCTTTTGCTTCTGGAAATTTAGCATTTGATAAATTCTTCATTTTTTTCGCTTGTATTTCTAAGTTGTCTCTTGCATTTTGTCGTTCTTCTGTTTGTTTGCGTTTTCTATTTTCGGTTGATGGTATTTCTTGTAATATAGTGTGTGGCAATATACTTGATGTTAGGCCAGTTTTAGGGTCAGTTCCAAACATCGCATTGTATGGGCTTCGTTTAATTCCAGAATGATAGGCTTTATTTTTCATGAATTGAACGAATCTGAGTCCTTCACTCCATTTATTGGTGTTATTATCTTGCATCCAAGTTGTCAATATGTTTTCAATATCTTGATTGGCTCGTTCAACACTGCCCTGCGACTGACTATGCCGTGGTTTCCCGTGAACGATATTTAAATCAGGCCACATCTCACGCAATGAATTAATTAGTTCATTACAAAATTCCCTACCATTGTCAGATTGAAGAGAAGCGGGGGCACCAAATAAACAAAAAATATCTAATAACACACATGCGACTTGTTCTGCTCGTTTTGAAGTTAAGGGTTTTAAAATACAAAATTTTGTTAAATGATCTTGATAGACACATATAAATTTAAAATCTCTATCAGGTTGTGATTGAAAATCTATAAGATCAATTTGACAGCGACTATTAAAATCGTTAAAAACCATTGGTTTGACTACAATACCTTTTTTTTGTGATTTTTTTTTCTGTTGACATGGAATACACAAATTTAAATACAACTTCACATCAGCTTGGGTAATATTTTTATATTTTTTATTAAGTTCAAATAACATACGGTCCCTTCCTCCGTGTCCGATTGACTTATGAACACTGTTTTAAATGTCAAACATATCGTCTATCATAACGTATATTTTGAAATTAGGATTGTTTTCATTAAATGGGTAAATTAATGTTTCGACGCCATTTATTGTTATTAAATCATAATGTTTCGCAAGCCAATAATCACGGGTTTGAGTTTTTTTAATTTTCATATTTTTGACGTCAGATATCAAATTTAAATATTTTTCACTAGATAAAATAGCACTATTATTTTTGTACTCACGTTTTTCAATTGATTCGTAAAATTTTTGTTTCATAAGAATCATTGTTTCATCCATATTGAATATATTTTTTAAAAAATTCAATCAAAAAATTAAAAAACGTGTAGGTACTACAGCTTTATAATGCGTTAAATGTATTTATGGTGTACTGCAAACAACTGGACGAGAAACAAACATATTATATTATGTTCTACCACAACGAAATAATAAATTGATCGTCACTTATTATTGACGTTATCTCGCCTTATCTTAACGAAATCTAATATATAAACTATAACTGAGCAATCGCGGGGAATTCATAAAATACCTAGTTAAATTTAATATTATATGTTTTATCGCATTGATTTGGTTAATGTATATAATAGCTAGGTATTTCATGAAATATCGCCATTAAATACTTTAACGCTAACATATATAAGTATCATATTTTAATCCTAATCTCGAAAAGTCGTAAACCAATATTTTAAGTTGCAGGGTCAGAGTTACGTTGATTTTCACAAAAACGTATGACTAGTTTGTTATATTTTATACTATTATCTTATAAATAATAATTTTATACTATTATCTACTATCGAGTAAATATCAAATGTGAAAATTAAAATTTCAAAGGCTCATAAAAATTTAATTTAAGTTTCTTGTAGACATTTATTTTTTTGATAAAGCTAGACAAACTTATAAGGAATCTCGCATTACATTATCGTATCTTAGATTTAAAAAGAAAAATTTTTATGAATTTCTAACTCGAAATAATTCTCAAATTTTCGTCATTTTTATGTATTTTGTCAATATTTGAACTTTAAATGCTTATAACAAAAAACTGTGACTAAGGATTTTAATATTTTTCTAATGTCAGTATAACAATAAACTAGGAGCCTTGTATTAAATGTTCAAGTATTTTTACTCAACTAATAAAGATTTATTGACATTCATAGAAAAAAAACTAATAAAATGTTAAACTGAAAATGTTCCTAAACAATTCAAAACATATCAAAATATTTTGAAAATTTTATCATGCTTAGAAAATGGAAATACAAACAACCATGCAGTGAAAATTTCATGTATATACGTTCATTTGTTTTAGAGTAACAGTAAAAACCAAAATCAATTTTGTTTAAGACCGATTTTGAGTAAAAGTTCAAGTTTTCCCTAAATTTTTCTTTTGTTTTTCACGGCACTTTTGAAAACTACTGGGAAATTTTTACTTTTGACCTTCTCAATGCATCAACAATATTCACTTTTCAATCGAACAAAATACTGAAGTTGAAACTTTCCAATCAGAAAAGGTACTATTGAAGAAAATGCAAGCACTTTTACTGTCCTAAAAGGCAATGATAGACACAAAAAAAAAATTAAAAATTAAATTAAAAAAATCCACATCATTGTAAAATCAATGCATTGATCGTTCCATTCAGAATCTAAAATTAAAAATGCTTATATCTCACTTAACAATTAAAATATCGAATAAAAGCCAAAGCTTAAGTACAGATAATGTTATTATCTAAAAAATGTATAATAGGTCAAATCACTCTAATATCAAAACTAACAGCACACTATTAAAACTAGTGAACAAAAATTTGCTATGTATCGTACGTGTCTAAGACGGAGACAACATGGGTAAGCATGTTATATGTTTATAACTTGTTCGATTGAAAAGTGAATATTGTTGATGTATTGAGGATTTCAAAATTTTAAATTCCCAGTAATTTTCAAAAACGATAAGAAAAACATAAGACAAATTAAGGGAAAACGGGAATTATTACACAAAATTGAATTTGGTTTTTGGTGTAACTTTAAAACAAATGACCGTAGATACATGCAATTTTCACTGGTTGTTTATATTTGCATTTTCTATCCACCATTAAATTTTTAAATTATTTTAATTTATTTTGAACTGTTTAGGGAAATTTTCAGTTTCCAATGTTTTTCTATGAATGTCAATAAAACTTTATTTGTTGAGTAATAATACTTAAAAATTTAATACAAGGCTGATAGTATATTGTTTCAAAGGTAGATGAAAAATATTAAAAATCCTTACTCACAATTTTTTTTTATAAGCATTTAGGGTTCAAAAATTGACAAAATATGGAAAAATCAAGAAAATTATCAAATTATTTTGACTTTTGAGTTAAGAATTCATAAAAATTTTTCTTTTTAAATCTAAGATATGAAAATGTAATACAAGATTCCTTATAAGGTTGTCTACCTTTATCAAAAAAAAAAGTCCATAAGAAAGTCAAACTAAATTTTTATGAGTGTTTGAAATTCAAATTTTTACAACATTGGATATTCTCTCGATTTCTCATGTAGCGATTTTCTTATTTTGTTGTAATTCAAAAACGAATAACTGTAGATACATGAACATTTCACTGAATGTTTATATTAGCATTTCCTATCCACCATACAATTTTGAAAATATTTTGATTCTTTTTGAGCTGTTAACAGACATTTTCAGTTTCCAATTTTAGATTCTGAGCGGAGCAAGGAAGCTATAGTGGTTTTACAATGGTGTTTATTTTTTATTTTTTTTTTATTTTTTTTTTTATATCCTGTATACAAAATTTCTACCAGAAGGAGTGCTTTGATTTAAACATATATAGTACCTTATCTTTTAGCAAATTGGACCAAGATGGTACTTTAGAGAGGTCATTTTTCGATTTTCTCAATAGTTATTTAATGCCACGGGAAAAAGTACTGAAAAATTACGAAAAACCGCTTAAAATGGGATTTTAATTTCTAACAATTTGTTTATCACCGTAGCAACGAATAAAAAAAAAATAGGTAGGTATTATCTATATAAATATCATGTTTATAGTATTAAAACAACTTACATGTTATACCTAATAATTAATGACAATATAAAATATACAGACTGACAAACCGTCTCCGTTCAGAATCGTTTTTCTTATACAATGATATTATATCATTGAATTCAAGTTAATACAATCCATTAAACAATGACTACTGTATATCAATAAAGTTTTATCTGTTGGGCCAAAAAGTGTAAAAATTTAATACAAGGCTCCTGATATATTGTTACAATATCAGTTGAAAAATATTAAAAATACATATTCACAATTTTTTTTATAAGCATTTAAAGATCGAATTTTGAAAAAATGTTTTAAATAAAAATTGAATAATTATTTTGTATTTAAAAATGTATAAAATGTTCAACTTCTATATCTAAGGATTGAAAATTTAAAACAAGATTCCACGTAAGTAGTTAATTCTGTTACCAAAAAATTTTAAAAATACGTAAGCACAGTTTATTTTTATAATCATTTTAAGTTAAACTTTGGAAAAAATTACATAAAAAACAACCTAGAATAACTATTGTAGTTATTTTGTTGTGATTGTGTATATTATTCGTGGGTACTTGAAACTTAGAGTACACTATTATAGTATTATATATGTATGGAGTATGGACTATGATAGTATCAGGGTTTGTTGTTGACGTATTATAAGTACCTAATGGATACTGTGATATGATGAATTTGGTATTTATTATAGGTACCTATTTTAGGTAAATTTTTCTTAATACGATGGATCTCAGAATCGTTTTTCTTATACAATGATATTATATCATGGAATTCAAATTTAATACTACCTATCCATTATTTAGTGACCCACTTGTAACCTACTGTTCAGCAGAGCACCTTTTTTATTTTTTTTTTGTGTCTGTCATCACATTTTAGGACAGTAAAAGTACTTGGATTTTTTTCAACAGTAGCTTTTCTGATACGAAAGTGAATCTAATTGGTACTTTGGGCGTGGGTCAAAAGTGAAAATTGTCTAGTAGTTTTCAAAAGCGGCGTGAAAAACAAAATAAAAATTAAGGAAAAACGGGAATTTTTACACTAAAATCTGTTTTCGAAAAAATCGATTTTAGTTTTTGGTGCAACTCCTAAACAAATGACACATTTTAAAAATGTTTTGATTTATTTTGAACTGTTTATTCACATTTTCATTTTCCATTATTTTTTAGTTTTTTTTTCTAAAAATATCAATAAAATTTTATTTGTTGGTTAAAAATGCTTGAAAATTTAATACAAGGCTCCTACTATATTGTTACAATGACATTAGAAAAATATTAAAAATCCTTAGACACAATTTTTTTTTATAAGCATTTTAAGTTCAAAAATTGACAAAATATGGAAAAATCACGAAAACTAGCAAATTATTTTGAGTTAAGAATTCGTAAAAATTTTTCTTTTTAAATCTAAAGTTTTAAAATGTAGTACAAGATTATTCATAAGTTTGTCTACCTTTATCAATAAAAAAATCTCTACCGGAACGCCTAATTAAATTTCTATCAGATCAATTTGAAATTCAAATTTTTACAATATTTGATATTCACTCGATTTCTCGTGTAGCAATTTCCTTATTTTGTTGTAATTCAAAAATGAATAACTGCAGATACGTGAACATTTCACTGAATGTTTAAATTAGCATTTCCTACAAATTTTTCAAATTTAAAATTGAATAATTATTTTGTAGTTAAAAATTTATAAAATCTTCAACTTTTATATCTAAGAGTTGAAATTTTAAAACAAGATTCCATGTAAGTAGTTTATTCTGTTAAAAAAAAAATCTAAAAAAAATACAGAAGCACAGTTCATTTTTATAGTCATTTTAAGTTCAAATTTGAACGAAATTACTTATTAAAAAATCTAGTTATTTTGTTGTGATTGTATAATATTATTCATGGGTACTTGAAACTTCATAAACAATATATTAATTACTATTAACGAGTGCCACAACTCACAAGGAAAAGTTAGTTTCTAAAGTACTAGAAGAGCCATAGCGAATACTTAAGTTTGACCATATAAAGGACCATGTAATCTGACTGTTGTCTACTATATAAAGGCTCCCCATCAGGGAGACCAAACACGCACTATTTCTGCGTGACGACTAGTTGACAGTATTCATGCTAGAGATATTTGTTTTAAATTGTAACATTACTCTGAGTGCTTAAAAACTATTAACCACTAACCTTTGGTCAATAAATTGAATAATAATAATTAATTTGACTACGTGTTACTTCATTTGATTCGACCTTG